TATATTTAACATTGTGAGGGTGTTGTTTAAACCCAACCTTTTAAAATGCCTCCAAAGGAGGGGTAAAGGTTGGTTGAAAATTTGAATAATGTGTCAACTTGAAAGTTACAAAAAAAAAAATTAATACAATCAGTGAGTTGTAAAAATTGATGTGATTTATTGCTGCTTTTCTTCTTTTTGCGTTTCCTCTGCCTTACATATCAGTGCAACCCTAAAAGTATTCTGATAATAATAAATGCAAATTCTCTGTTCATAACCCCGGCTTACCCAGTACAGTTTCCCAGTGGATTGCTCTGAGGATAATTTCTTTTGTTGGGAAAACTGTAATTGAGCATTACTTTGGATCTAGTTGCATTTAGCCAATTGTTAGCACTTTTTTAGGGCATGGCCAATGTTCTTACATATGTTGTTGAAAAACAAAACTAAGTGGACATAACTGAAACTTATTCCAGGCATCTAACCAAATACCTCCTTGAAAAACACCCAGTGAGATGAGGGAGCAGTTCACCAAAACAAAGATGTTTCGGGGTAGCACTCTGTGGACAAGAGTGGATGTTGATGTTTACACATAGCTAGTTTGGGGATCTGGGGAGTCTGAGCAAACTATGTATCTTCAACCTACCCTTCTGAAGCGCTTTATATGTCCGCGTAAGTATAATAGCAATGAAAATTCATCCCAATGACTTTAAGTCAGACGTCTGTCATTTAAATAAAGCACATTATGGTTAAAAATTGCTACTGTTTACAAAAATAATTAAATAATTCAGGTCATTTTTTAAAAATTAAATCTGTCATTTCTAAACTGTTAGTTCTGACACATAATTTTGCAGGCATAATTTTTTTGTTTTTGTGTCTAAGCACTTAGACTTATTAAAATAAAACTGACATTTTTCATATACTTTTTGTCCATTTCTAGCTGCTTAATGCATGCATTCGTAGGAGGAAAAGAGACAGACGAGGAGCTGAAACGAGGACAGAGAGAAACTGGTTCAGTGGGATGGAACAGAGGGATTGTGGGATTGCTGGTTGGGTGAAGCAGTGATGCAGCTCAGAGAGAAAGGATCCTCTAATCGAAGGATTTAAAGAGGCATAGATGTCAGGAACACCAAGGCTCAGCCAGCCACCCCCCCAAAAAAAGGAGCTTATCTGCAGTTTTTGAAACAGAATGAAATAGTGTCTACTTTTGATTAGTTTTCTTTCACATCTCTATCTCTGATATGTATTCACCTTGTGCAGGTCGTTTTTCAATCAGCCAGCTGCACCAAATTGGTATGTTGATGAAGCTCCTGCCAGGGGAATTACTGAGAGTTGGAATTACAATTGGGCAATTAAATTTTAGACTCTTAAAGAAACAACCTTGGGTAATAACAATTTGAACAAAGGAACTAATTAGTTCATAATTAACAGAAAATTAAGAGCAAACATTATGTGTGGAAACATACGAAATGTTGATATTACTTGTGGGAAATATTCCTACCTTCCAAAAATAGTAAGTGTAGCCTTTTATTTATGTTACTTAACCCAGACCAGAAACACTTTGATTCTTTTCTACAACAAGCTCTCAAGGCACATAGTGGGATATCTAAGGACAAGAGAAAAAGGATAGTGCAAGACTGGATCAGCATGAGGGATGTGCTCATTATGCTTATTTATGCTTATGCTCATTATTTAGACATATCTTACTAACACTAAGCCCACCATATTAGGTCAACAGAAGCAGACCACCTGATTTGAATGTTGTCAATATAACAGGTGGCCATTATAAGTTGTCATATATATTGCCAGTAGTTGATTTCCCATTGAGAATACAAAGCATGCATGGTTACGGGATGTTTTTTTTTTTAACTTAAACTTGGTAGTAGTTGGTAGTTGGTTTGGATTGGGGTCACATCACGAGTTCTTTTGAAACCGTACTAAGTTAAAGTTTTTAACTCCATAAGTTAATTGTTAATTTTTTACTAAACTTACCAAGAAGTTTAAAGGTTTTAACTTGTTTCAAAAGGTGCAACCTTTATGGTAAAGGTGTGCGGTCTACATTCCCATAGAAACTGTGCTTCAAGTCCTGCTTTTCACACTTTCCTTACTACTTGGGAAGTGCTGAGTGTACACAGACAAGCTAGCATCTTCTGTGCAAACCACAGATAACCATTGTAATTTGCTAGGAACCAATGCCAAATGAGTTTTTTTGATGGAACACCAAATACATACATCAGGGAACACAAATTTTTCCCATGTGACCCCAAGGGGGGCTCATCCAAAGGACTGTCTGATTGAGGCCCAAAGATATTTTTAACTACCTGCTCTTCCCAACTGTTTCATCTTGCTGGAGGAACTTCCTTTCTATTCCTATGGCATAGGTCTTCGAAGGAAGGCACTGAAGCAGTTGACTGAATGAAGAGAAGATTTTTAACCGTTAAAGTATATTATTTTAATCATGTTTAATTATATTTCAATTGTTTTGGAAAAAACACCCTGCTACTTTGTACCTGGATAGAAGATGAATATGTTAGAAATGGATGGATGGTTACCAGATTCTGTGGAACTTTTGAACAACAACAGTTGAGTTTTAGGGAACTTAGCTGTGTGACCTGAATGAATGCCAGTACATAAGGAGCAGAGAGAGGAAACAGGGCCGACTGCAGTAAACAATTTGTTTGGCAGTTTGGTGGGTCAAAGGAAGTCGAGTGGGACAAAGCATTGCAAGCAGTTCACTGGCATTTGGATGAAAGGACATTATCATTGCAGTCCATTCATTTTCTGACTTTATTGTGTATGCTTCTGCCCTTGGTTTTGATCAGCTGCGATTCTTTTTAGCTCATTTTGACTCCAGCAATGACAATTGTGTTGGACAGTCTTTGAAATCATGATGACCTTTTTTTTCATGATTTTCCATGTGTTTGTTTGAACAGATGTTTATTAAAAGCAATCTATTGCAGCTTTACTAGGTTCACTTAAGTGAAATTTTATTTATATTCCACCAGTGGAACCACAGTCTTCTCAAGATGCTCATTTTAAACATGGAATATTAAAGACCACCTCCAGCAGACCAAGCAGTGGGTCTCCATTTTCCCACAATTTCCAGGTGGCTGAGATCAGTGTTTACTTCTAGTCAGACTGAAAACCAATGCTTGAAATGTTCAATGTAAAAAGATGTGGATTAGTTGTTCCTAGGATTTGGGAATTCTTGGGTTTAACCCTATTTAGGAAGGCCTGAACAAAGGTTAATGTTGTTGGAGCCTTTAGAATTACAGTGAACTCAGTCTGCTGACAGCTCTGGATATTTTGGCTCTATGATGAATCGCAAGGACAGGTCAGGTGCTTGTTGATAGCGTAGAGACATAATGTATATCTAGGGAGTTGATGCAGGATTGGGTTGGCCAGCCTCTGCCTCTTGGAATGATGTAGCCCTATTCCCAGTGGTGCGGTAACACCAAACTCAAGGTGAATTGTGACCTCACAAACAAAAGCTAGGGTGTAATGGAGTGCTAGAAAGAAGTTACTGTAACATCAGTAAGTAAGATATCAGGAGGGTCTATGACTTTGCTCACTTAAAGCCCATTTTATGTTTTGTCTTCATATAAAAGAGAAGTTGAATCATTTAGCTCTGGTTTGTCCTTCATCAGGCTAATCCAGAGTCTATGACGCAATCTCAGCTGTAAGGCTTTCAAATTTCTAATTTGGATTTAATTTGAAAACTTTTTTAAATGCACAGATGTGGTACCTCTTGGTGAGGTTTCATGTGACTTTATGGTGAACACAGCATTACATTCAGCCTAAACCACCATTTGTTTGAAGTTTGGTAGTTTTGTTTGGTTGGAATCCAAAGCTACAAAATCTAAGTAGATACAGGGTAAATTTGGTAAATGATTTCAATTTTCATTTCCAGAAGCTTCCATCTTTTTTAATGTCTGTGGACTGGAACTCATCCCAGATGGCATGACTTCATAGGCGAGGTATAGCTACAATCTGCAAATGAGGACTTTGTGAGAACAGAAAGACAGGGAGGGTTCAGTTAGCTGATTTGTGCACAGAAATGTGAATTAATAGACTTCTAGTCATGACTAGTTCACAAACTGCCGTAAGACTGTGTTTGGAAGGGTTGACAAGATTTCTCACAAAACATTCAGTGGCGCTATGAACTCAGGAATCAAGATCATATTTTAAGAGTATAAGTGACAAGATAAGCTTCTTTTAAAAAAAGAAATTCTTGGTGGAGGGCAAACGTAGTGCCCTAAATCCATGTAAAAGTCTATGAATAAACTATTCACTTGTGGAAGTTATTTGGAATTCAAAGCATCCATTAAAGTTATTGAAAAATGGCATATCTACCTAATGAGTTTTGCTTTAATGTAGCTAATCATACTTTAATGATATTTCTTCCATCTGTAATTGAGTTTCAATAAAAAGACTTGGTAGACTGAGCAAAGATGAATAAAATAAGATTAATATTAGAAGCGTAAAATAACGACCTGGTCTTTGTGTCTGTGTAACTGGAAAACTTGCAATGTGATAAATTTACGACTTCAGTAAGGTGCTAAAGTGATCAAAGAAA